TTGATGATCATTTAATTCGCATATGCGGGCATATTTAAAACGCATTCGACTCGGCTTTTTTTTTTTGTTCTTGTATCGTTGCTAAGTTGCGGCTAAGTTGGAGCCTGAATAACGTATTTTTTTAGGAAGAGCTAAAACAATCAAAGAAACTCTCAAAGCAACGGCAGAAGGAGAAGAAAAAGGCGAGACGCAAGGCAAAGAAAAATATGTGAGCTTTTTTTTTTATTTCGTTTTTGTTACAGATTATTTACTGGCTTTGATTAGGTTTAGCCCGCTGCTGATCCTCGTTGTCCGCATAATACCTTCTTTTATGAAAGTTGAAAAAAGAGAAAAGAACTAGACTGTTGCAGCGGAAGCGTATTTTAGCATAGCAGCCGAAGCAAGGTAGTAAATTATTGAGGATGTAATCAAAAATCATGTTAATCCAATGTTGTTTCAGCTTAGCAGTCCATAAACAGCAATTGTGTGGTCTTTTATTTTCAGGGCCGAGCAAAAGAATGTAAATCAGAAGCAAGAAGACAAGCACGCCAAAAATGAAGAGGTTTTACAATTTGCACGTTTTTGCGTTAACGCAGTGAAAAAAAAGAGTGACTTGTGGTAGGAAAAATCTCAAAACAGCGATGTAGAATGGGTTTTCGTAACGTGCAAAGGGCGGAAAGATGCACTAAAAATTCAAGGATGTTTTCTTCATTTCTGTTCGAGAGTACATCACTGTTGCGCGTATTATAGCTTTGGTGGAATTTCCAGGAATCAGCTGATGAAGGTCGCGGAAGTACGAGCATGCCAGCGATTGAAGAAAATGATTCGATGAATCGTGACTCAGAGCCTGAGGAGGTTAGCAGATTACGGTGAAATTTGCCTGTGTCATTTTTCTTTGTTTTTACATTCATCTATTTTTTTAAAGGTGGACCCTCCACGTGTGCCAGCACTAATTCCCAATGAACACAGTGTTGATGAACCAGTGGCAGTGCCAGTGGAGACTTCGTCTTCGAAGCGCACTTCCGGAAAACCAGCGCGGCAGAGAGTTCGAAAAGAAAGCGGTACGCTGCATATTGCTTGTGTTTTTGAATTTTGCATTTCTTCTTGAACATTTGAAGCTTTTTTTTTAGCTGCACATAATAACATTTTTCCAGGCAAATCAGTTAGCTCAGCAATTTCATCGCCCTCAAATAAGACGAGTAACGGAGCAAACTCAGACGCCGAATGGATGAAGGCAACACCAAGGCGCGGTGGGGTAAGGCTACTAAACATATAATTCATCTGCCCAACCCTCAAAACTCGGGTTGCACGGTCCAGCTTGCTGTCACAGTTTTGGGATTGAACTGCGCTGTCACGTTTCTGGAAGTGCTGTATGGCAAATTGTTGTTGCTCGTAATTCCGAGAAATTAATTAGATTGCAATTTGGGTTTGAGCATTGGTGCAGTCAAATTGTTTCTTGTCAATCGCAGATCCTCTCAATTTT